GATACATATGAGCACCAGAAGCCATGAAAAGCAGACAGGGATGATATCCACACTGACTGGAGATAAGGAACAGTTCAGCTTCTTACCTTCTGGAAAAATTAAGATTGGGAGCTTGCTTTTATCCGCCACATGTTCCCTCAGTCTGTGGAAGCAGAAGGAAAGCTTTAAAAACAGCTCCTTTTCACTCTTCTTTCCCCAGGCAGGTGCATTAAAAATATCTTTACATACAACACATTAGTTTGAAACCAAAGCCTTTTACTGGACACTAATTTGTACTTGCTTTTCTGTTTCTGACAAACTTGAAGCTTTGTGCAAGCCATCCCTTAGGCCCCTAGTGCATTACAGTGAGGCAACATCCTGTCTTCTTTCTCCCATATTATTTTATTAATGACTGCCAAGGAAGCCAACAAATATATGTCATTGAGTCAGTCCAATTAATTCTGATCACCTCAACCTGCAAGAAATTGCCTACATAAGAAAAAAGTCTTCTGCATTGGTCCATCCAGGCTCTGCTTGCTTAACAGCAGATTTCTTAAGAGAACTCTTAAATGCCTACAGCTCACACTATTTGAATAACACTTGGATGAGTGCCAATGAGGTGGTGAAGAAGTTAGCCTGTCCAAATGAACTAAAAGTTCTTTAAAAATTAGGAATAATTTCTATCACTGCACTACAGTGTTCAAGGGTATGCCTTTGGAGACATTCTGCAGAAAACTGCCTTTGTAAGCAGCTCAGTTTTATAACTAGACATTTCTGCCCCTCACCCAAACAAAACTTGTTATTTCTAGTGGTTCACAATTTCTAATGATGTTGAGACAGTTCATGTCACAGAAAGCCCATTTTTTTCCATCAGTATTTCTCTTCAACAGAAAGTCCCAGAATGTGAAATATCTTCACATCCTTTCAAAATGTATATCCAAATTCATCAGACATTAGTTATTATGCTGATGACTACTCAAATGAGATGTTTTGTGACAGTCTTCTGCAATCCAGACCTTACCAGAACCTTTGGTCTGAACCGCTTCACCCTGTATAAACCTGCCAACCCTTCCTTGGTGACCTGGGAACCTGACATTTTGACCAGTCTACTGTACTAAAACCCTCACAAGCAAATGTATTTGGGTCATTCCAAATGCTCCAAAACCCCTCCAACTCACTCCAAGAACTGCTGTTGAGCCACTAGTATATCAACTGCTTCCAATCCTACCTACATCTACCAATTTGCAGTACCCTGCATCATTCCAGTCTGCAGTAGTGCGGAATTACAGATAACTTGTATCCCTGTGATTAGCATTCACAAGCAGCAGTCATCATTTGGAACAGGACAATTAGATACAGCTCCTACTAAAAGATGCTTTCGCTAATCAGCCTTTTGCCCTCTTGAGATCCCAACGTTCCAAGTACCCTGTTTCCCACTGCAACCTCAGCAGTTTCTTGGGCCTTCCAAAGCTTTAATTCCTCATCTGGGTCTTTGATTGTTCAATGACTCTTCGGGGATTTCACACCCAAAGCGTGACACTTCAGGCACTAGAAGGCACTGGAGTTACACCAGCCCTGCAAAGCCCCGCTCCAACCCACACCTCACCTTTTGGTCACTAGATGGCGGTCTTTGATTTCCGAGCGTTCAAACCAGACATGAGGACAGGCCTTGACTGTGGCTCTCTGAATAACTCCCATTAGTCCACCGTGAACCTGGCCAACCTGCAAGCCCAACAAGGCACATCAGTACACGAGACACCTGAAAAAACAAAACTGCCCCTTCTGCATCTCCCTCAAAAAAACCCAAATACCTGCAAACCAGGACTGGGCACTGCCCACAAGAACTATTAAAATGCATTCACTTAAAAGCATCTTGACACATGCTTGGAAGGATATCTCAAGTATTTCACCAGATGAAGAGCCTAGTATTGACACTGCCAGGACAACTTCACCAGCACTTAACTTGTGGACCAACTTCAGCACAATGTATACTTTTATCCACTGACTAGTGCTCAAGTTAACATCTTTACTGTGAAAGTTAAATACTGAACTCCACAACCAACACCCCGCAGTCTTTCCCTTTCCAGGTCCCTCTCCCTCTGCTGTGGTCATCATGGAAGTCCTCCTACCATTGCATAGCATCCATCATTTGTCAAAATAATCGCATCTATTGGTGATGTGTGGTTGGCAACACAAATTCCTCCCTTCTGAGGTTTGTTTTCCCTGCAATTACATAATTTTTTGTTAGCCTGCTAGTGCACTAAGCACCACATCACACACACAACAGTTCCATAAAGCTGACAGGTAAGTCAGCATCTAGTGTGACAATAGCCTGCAGGTCAGGAAAGAGCTGCCACATTTCAAACGGGATACTCACACACGCAGAAGCATACACACGCTTTTACTATCATAATGTCAGCTTACTCACTTGTTATGATAATGGATAGTACCAGACAGAGCTCTGACAAGGATGCGGGAGCACGTGAGGTGGACCACTTCACTCAGATAGTTTTTCACACTGAAAGAAATCACAAGCATCTGGAGGATCCTGGAAAGCAGCTAGACACATGTGCAATATTCTCCAGCCTACTGAACACAACTCAGGGATGAAATTTTCCTGGTACTCCAGAGCACAGAGGGATATTCCCATCTCTACCACTCACTTGCTACCGCAGCTCAGCCAAGACACATCACACCCTTAGTCTCACTTACCTAGGCAAGGCTGTCATCTCCTCCCTGGGTATTTTTTTTATCCCACCACCATTACCTTCCCTGCAATGCTCCCTTGAGCCTCTCATGACAGCAAGAGGAGCCCAGCAGAAACCACCAACCTCAGTACCAAGCCTGGAAAGAAGCCAACCTCAGCCCAAGTTCAAAACGCCACTAAAAGCAAGGCCACAAGTTTGTGAGTAGAGTGGACTATCAGTAGTCTAACATTTGTATAATATGTCCAGTCCTAATCTTGAGCTGTTTGCACTGATGCAACTTGGCAAGTTCATCCCTCACACACCACACCCAGTACCTACCTGCTGTTTGGCAGCTGTCCTACCACTGTTGTCCCCACAATCATTGAGGTAATCCCAATGGCAGCAAGGGTAAAGCTACAGACAAAACAGACATTAAAGGAAGTAAGTAGTTTTGCTCATTTTAACATCACTCTCCTCTTTAGAATGGAAAGGGATTGTGGGAATTCAATTATTCCTCAGATACTTGGCATATCCAGTTCTAACTCAGAAATTCCCTGGCATATTGTTCAAAATCACAGTCTAGTAGAGGCAGCAGATTCAGATACCCCAATGCATATCATGTCAGGAAGTTTTAGAGCTTGCCCAGCTTACACTTATGTTGCCAATACACATGCCTTCAGGGAAGCATTCACAGAAAACATGACCACTAGTCCTAACCTACTCTCCACAGTAAATGGCAAGATAAAAATGTTCTGAATGGCTTCAAAGGAGAGTTTAAGCCAGTTCACCTTCTGTATCTGCCAACACTGCTCTTGGGTTAAAAAAATTGAGATGATGTTTCCTAAGAAAACACACATTTATGCATTCCCAGCCTGACAAAGTCCCTCAGCACCCATGAGCTTACCGTAGGGGCAGCAGGAAGCAGTACCGCACTATAACCCCAATGACCCACACAACAGTCAGCCTCAGGCTGATGTAGTGGAAGTTGACATTAGTCCTGGTGAGGAGATTCCAGGAGACCAGCTCTTCAGAGGAAAACCTTTGGGTGACTTCATCTTCCACAATGGCCTCAAAGCCTTTTCTGCAGAAGTAGAATATGTCAGAGAATTCAAAGTCCACTCGATGCAGACGCGCAATTTCTTTCTCCATAGGTGTTTCATCTCTTTCAATGATACCTTGGGAAGGAAAGCATAACCATATGAGGAAATAATTCTATACATTAAGCCATCCTCCAAATCACTTCCAGCTCTGCATTACTCAAGGAGACTAACTGATTGTCAGAGACCCTCCTATGATAGCAAGAACAGATGGGTAGCTGAACACAGCATATCCTTCAGTAGGCCAGTTCTACCTCCCCTTCCTCCCATAAACACCTTGTACAGCAAATACATCAAGCTCTGTTGCCCACTGAAGATGAAGCAAGAAGGCAAACCCTTCCCCACCATCTGACAAGTCCTCAACTCAGCAACTTTATCCAAGACCATCTCATGCTTCCATAGGAAACCAATTGAGACCTTGGCCTTTCCATTCCCTTCTCCTGGTGCTCTGTGTATTTAATGGCACTCACTCCCCTCCATGAAGGCTTCCCTGTTTCCTAGGCCCATCTCTTGTCAGACATTCTGGCATCTGACAGCCACATTCAGGTGAGACATGCTCTACTGCTACCTGCCAAAGCCCAAGATCACAACAGCTACCTGACATCTGTGTGTTCTGTTCAAAGCTGGTCCATGCTTTGTCAAGGGTTGTCAGGCATTGGAACAGGCTGCCCACGGAAGTGGTGGAACCACCACGTAGATGTAGCAGACACATAGATGTAGTGCTGAGGGACGTGGTTTAGTAGTGGTGTTGGCAGTGTTAGGTTGATGGTTGGACTACATGGTCTTAATGGTCCCTTCCAACCTAGGCAATACTATGATTCCATGAGCCTCCCTCCCTTCACAGCACAAGTCTTTCCTATAAGCACAGACAGGACCCCACTATTTTTCATTTTATTTTAAATCAAAGGAAGAAAAAACCCTCCAAAAAACACAAAGTCAAAGAAAATTGTTTCTAGAGGTGCCTTGATACAATTTAGTTTGGCACTAACAATTGTTTCATTTAAACTGCCCACATAATGCATGGCAATAGAAGAGAAACCTGGAGAGTTCAGAACTGCAGTACAAATGGCAAGTACTCCCTCTTCTCCCCCCTTTTTGTTTTTTATACTCACAGTCTGATAAGCACCGATTTCTCACTAGAGCTTTCAAAGATCAAGTTGCTTCTTTCTGGTAAGGTCTGATAAGCACTGATTTCTCACTAGAGCTTTCAAAGGCAAGGACAAATTATGTAAGCTAAATATAAAGATCAAGTTGCTTCTTTCTGGTAAGCAAGTCTGGCCCCAGAAATTGATGACTGAAGAAATCTAGAATAACATTTAACCAGTACAACCATCCCCTGAGACACTCAACTAGGATTACAGAGGTCCAAGTTCAGGTTGCCACTGTCAGACATCCTCTGAAAAATTGCATAATCTCTGTGCTTCTATGTTGAGATAAAAAAAATGGGAAAGGAGGAAGCACCCAACTGTTTCAAGCTACTAGACATTTTCCCACAAATGCACATCCCACCATGTGGAAATTTGCACCCCAAGGAAGTCTTGCCAGCAGAACAACTCTGTAAATATATTTACTGTGCAAATCACGTGTAACAATTACAAGTAGCATCGCAAATCTTTGTATTACACTGTAGCATACATATGGATTAACACAAGAAACTTCAAGATACAAGTCCCACAAATCACTGAGGTAAGCACTAAAGAATAACATGCAAGAGAGATGACACACTGCAACAAAACCTATTAGCACCTTCGGCTCTGAACTTGGCAGCTACAACTGGCAATTCTACCAGCAGACCATCTCAGTACACTGTCCTATCACTAGCCTACAAATATAAATCATTAATAAGGCACACCCAAACACCCACATGCCCATCAAGATCTAAATTATATAAACATGCATCACATCAAGCATTTAACAGGACAGACTACACTTGTGTCATTTTAAACCCAAACCAGAGCTGTAGTTTGTGGTTCAATATTTCTCTCAGTCGGTTCCTTAAACCTCCAAGATATGAAACACCCAGGCCTGTAGGTGAGTCAGCCCAACCTGTCCGCTCCATGCTGCTGCTGGGGTGGAAGACAGGTCGTGGCCAAGAAACTGGCCAGGGGAACTCTCCAGCACCCATCACACAAGTACCACTCTCTTGTCCCCAGTTCCCAGGAGAACTGGGAAGCTTCCTCTTTATCTAGCCCCCAGTTCAGCATCAGCCAAGCAGCCGGCTCCCCTGGCTCCTACTTCTTGGCTGAAACCAGCCCAGGGTTCAAGGTTAACACACTGCTGGCACAGCAGAGATAGCACGGCTGCAATGTCTTGCCTCACCAGCCTGCACTGTCATTGTCACACGACACCCCCATGTGCAAGCTGCCTTGCAGCCTTAGGACAAGCTACTCCAAGCCAAGATCAGAACAGCACCTGAAGGTATTATGAACAGAATTAAACACATGCTGCTCAGGTGATGTACTTCGCCTTCTTGTAATCAGAAGTAACATTTAACAGCCTTTAATCCCTTGGCCATGGGCAGAGCCGAGTTTGCCAAAGACAGCTAAAAGACAGCATTACACAGGAGTACAGCAAACATCACTCTCAACCAAAAGAGCTGTAGTCACTCAATGTCACAGCATAAGCCCCAAGCCTTTGAGCTCACATACTCTAGTCAGCGAATTGTAACAGGCTCAAATTTGACACCATCGGTAGATGGTACAGTCACATTATTTGCACGAGGTTTTCTTTTAGTGGATGTCACTTTCAAAACCTCTGATTTAACAGCATTTTTGTGGTTTTTAACCCCATCAACTTGAAGAGCATTGCCTTTCAACACAGTCAACACCCACACTGACAGCTGGTTATTCAGCTACAATGAGAGCGCCATCCAGCCTCCAAGTATTTGTTCAGCCAAGAGCTACCATTGAGCCCAGTACATAAACGCACTACCCTCTAACACAGAGGGGCCTTGAGGTGACAGCATCAGA